GCTCTGGACACTACGCTGACAGACACAGCAAACCTTCTTGCCACAGCTCGCATTGATGTGCCATCCTGGATGAGCTGCACTACCTGAGCCACTTGTGTGGGTTGTAGACTCCGTCTCATGCTACCACTAGAGTGAAAGCACCGCCAGCATTCAAAAGTGACCAAAACATCAGCCAGGAAGCATAGGAACTGAGAAGTGGTCTGTGGTCACCACCTGCTAAACCAGTCCTTTATTGGGGGGTGTCTTGCTAATTGCCTATAATTTCCACCTGTTGTCTATTCCATTTACACAACAGCATGTGAAATGTATTGTCAATTAGTGTTGCTTCCTATGTGGACAGTTTGATTTCACAGAAGTGTGATTGACTTGGAGTTACATTGTGTTGTTTAAGTGTTCCCTTTATTTTTTTGAGCAGTGTATATATATATATATATATATATATCTATATATCTATATATCTATATATATATATATATATATATAGCTAGCTCTCTCGCTTCTCCTTAATTTTGGAAGAAATTACACTGTTCAACTATTGTCTAACTCTCTCTTTGAGTCAACTACTCACCACATTTTATGCTGCAGTGCTAGCTAGCTGTAGATGATGCTTTCAGTACTAGATTCATTCTCTGATATTTTGATTGGGTCCACAACATGTCAGTTCCTGCTGCAAGAGCTCTGATGGGTTGGAGGACGTCCTCCAGAAGTTGTCATAATTACTGTTTAAGTCTATGGAAAGGGGTGAGAACCAAGAGCCTCCTAGGTTTTGTATTGAAGTCAATGTACCCAGAGGAGGACGGAAGCTAGCTGTCTTCCAACTACACCATGGTGCTAGCCTAGAGTGCTGCTGAAGCAATTGTAGACCATTGCAAAACAGAGTTTTAATCAATTATTTTGTGACATGTGAATATATTTAGTAGTTTTATCTAAAAAGGATAACAATGTTTCACTATTTTTATTTTATTCACTGAGGATGGCCCTCCCCTTCCTCCTCTGAGGAGCCTCCGCTAGTGCAGCCCCATTCGTTCTGTCCTGGTTTTATAAAGCAGTGTAGTTGTTAAGGAAAGCAGCACCCTCTGGTGTTCCAAGTTGGAACTATATCCTCCTTGTGGCTAGCCGGGATACCAGTCTGTTTGTGCCATCATGCAACTTATTGTCATGCCAGAATGTCAAACATGTACAAGTACAATGGTACTGACAGTGAACGGAAATACGTTGTAAACTATCTCAATTGATCTCGAAAGCAGCCCAAATTCCTAAGGCCAGGCAGATGTATTAGACTGCCTCTATTCACGTGAGGGCGGCCGGCATTGCTCCATGAGACGTGTCATGTGAGAGGAACAGTCTTACTCCAACAGAAGTCAAAGGATATGAGAGCCACACAAAGGCTTCACTCTTAAGTGTGGGGCAAAAATACATACAGTGGGGAGAACAAGTATTTGATACACTGCTGATTTTGCAGGTTTTCCTACTTACAAAGCATGTAGAGGTCTGTAATTTTTATCATAGGTACACTTCAACTGTGGGAGACAGAATCTAAAACAAAAATCCAGAAAATCACATTGTATGATTTTTAAGTAATTCATTTGCATTTTATTGCATGACATAAGTATTTGATCACCTACCAACCAGTAAGAATTCCGGCTCTCACAGACCTGTTAGTTTTTCTTTAAGAAGCCCTCCTGTTCTCCACTCATTTCCTGTATTAACTGCACCTGTTTGAACTTGTTACCTGTATAAAAGACACCTGTCCACACACTCAATCAAACAGACTCCAACCTCTCCACAATGGCCAAGACCAGAGAGCTGTGTAAGGACATCAGGGATAAAATTGTAGACCTGCACAAGGCTGGGATGGGCTACAGGACAATAGGCAAGCAGCTTGGTGAGAAGGCAACAACTGTTGGCGCAATTATTAGAAAATGGAAGAAGTTCAAAATGACGGTCAATCACCCTCGGTCTGGGGCTCCATGCAAGATCTCACCTCGTGGGGCATCAATGATCATGAGGAAGGTGAGGGATCAGCCCAGAACTACACGGCAGGACCTGGTCAATGACCTGAAGAAAGCTGGGACCACAGTCTCAAAGAAAACCATTAGTAACACACTACGCCGTCATGGATTAAAATCCTGCAGCGCACGCAAGGTCCCCCTGCTCAAGCCAGCGCATGTCCAGGCCCGTCTGAAGTTTGCCAATGACCATCTGGATGATCCAGAGGAGGAATGGGAGAAGGTCATGTGGTCTGATGAGACAAAAATATAGCTTTTTGGTCTAAACTCCACTCGCCGTGTTTGGAGGAAGAAGAAGGATGAGTACAACCCCAAGAACACCATCCCAACCGTGAAGCATGGAGGTGGAAACATTCTTTGGGGATGCTTTTCTGCAAAGGGGACAGGACGACTGCACCGTATTGAGGGGAGGATGGATGGGGCCATGTATCGCGAGATATTGGCCAACAACCTCCTTCCCTCAGTAAGAGCATTGAAGATGGGTCGTGGCTGGGTCTTCCAGCATGACAACGACCTGAAACACACAGCCAGGGCAACTAAGGAGTGGCTCCGTAAGAAGCATCTCAAGGTCCTGGAGTGGCCTAGCCAGTCTCCAGACCTGAACCCAATAGAAAATCTTTGTGGAGGGAGCTGAAAGTCCGTATTGCCCAGCGACAGCCCCGAAACCTGAAGGATCTGGAGAAGGTCTGTATGGAGGAGTGGGCCAAAATCCCTGCTGCAGTGTGTGCAAACCTGGTCAAGACCTACAGGAAACGTATGATCTCTGTAATTGCAAACAAAGGTTTCTGTACCAAATATTAAGTTCTGCTTTTCTGATGTATCAAATACTTATGTCATGCAATAAAATGCAAATTAATTACTTAAAAATCATACAATGTGATTTTCTGGATTTTTGTTTTAGATTCTGTCTCCCACAGTTGAAGTGTACCTATGATAAAAATTACAGACCTCTACATGCTTTGTAAGTAGGAAAACCTGCAAAATTGGCAGTGTATCAAATACTTGTTCTCCCCACTGTATGATTATATTACAGTGATAAAGGCCTAGTTTGTGTTTAGAATATTCAACTATATTGAGTTCCCAAAGGGGGAAATGAGCATACAGCAGCAAAATTGAAAATTGTGACGATTCACGATTCCATTATTTAATCAATATATTGACACGGCCAATACCTAAGCCCTGAAAACAAACAGACAAGACATCAGTCTGAAAATAAGTTTTATTGCAATACACAGGTTCTCTTTTTGCTTTTCCTCTGTGAACTTTGCCTGCCAGGCACTCCAACTCTCAGGGGTTAAGATGGCACCAGGAGACCTTGAACAGGGGCACGCGTTCCAGACTGCCTCCAAACTGGCCACACTGCACAAATCAACAAATGATTGAATACCGTGCCATCTAGTCGGTTGATGCAGTTACTAATCAGGTTTCCAGCCAACCTTATATGCGAGTAAATTAGGTCCCATTTTACTTGTATTTTTTATTCAGTACATAAATGTTTATGTGCACTACGTCATCACGCACAGCCTTTTATCCAAAACAAGTCAATTTGATGGAAACATAGCTGGTGGGAAAATGCAAATATTGTTTTTATGCAGATTTGGAATATTCAATGAAAATCTGTTGACAATTGGAGGGTAACCTAGCTACTGACATGTTTTTTTAATTCTCCGGGCTATGCCAGAAGCAAGACCCTCCAAATATACACTCAACTCACTAGACTTCCATCAGTCTTAATTAAAAGGTTTATACGTTATTGATGAGAAACTAGTCATACTGGTTACTGACATGTTAAACGCTTATCCAGGCGTTGTAAGATTTGGTGCGCGACTGCTACGTAGGCAGCCTGGAACGTGGTGCGGTGTGTGGGTGGCTAAGGGTTCCTTAGGGTCTCCCAAGTCCCCACCCGTGTTTTGCCCGGTCATGTACTATTCAAGAGCAGCAGCCGTTTTAATTTAAAACATAGAGGCCTCCCCGAGTGGATACCATCCTCTGAAAACAGCAAGCAATGGTAACAGAGCAGGGAACAACCACAACATACAATACAGTCGGCCATTTGCATGGGCGATATATAAAATCATAATGGAATTTCTTCCGAAGAAGAACAACTTTGGGGGTGGGGAATGCATCATGGGTACTGCCCGTAGCTCTTCGCTTTGCATTCATTAGTTAGTCGATTTTTTGCTTTTTTCTCCCTGAACAAGAGTTTCTGTTTCTGGTTGCAGACAGAAACTTAAGATGAGTTTGATTATTAGTGGAGAGAGAGTAAAGGAGTGGGATGAAATGGAGGACAGAATTAGCATGATTTGGGATACGTGTTATTTTCAACAAACTGGACAGTAAAGCGTGATTGTGATCACTTCAGGGCTTACCATGGCAACAGTGTGCATAGGCAACAGAGGTCTCAATGCCGACACAACTTAGAATTTCCATCTGGACCCTTGATGCCAGTGATTGTTTTTGGTATAACTGACTAAATGAACTCACTCTGCCTTTGTAATCAACACAATAACATTCAAAACCATGTAACAAAAAACATTTACAGCAAGAAATAGAACCCTTGCAATGAATCGGGAATTTAACCATTTTGAATGATTGGACAGGAATTTAGCCTGCAAAAATGATTGAGATTATTTTCTTCCAGCTTGACAGCATCAGAATCAAAAAATACAGGGGGAGGTTAGGTCAAGAATGGGTTAGATTAGAAAGTGCAAGAGAGGGAAGGACAGAGAGTGAATAGGGAAAATGAACAGAGAAAAATGGTGGGCATGGGTTGTTTCCCAAATGGCACCATTCCCTATACAGTCCACTCATTTTGACCAGGGCCCATAAACTAGAGTCTTGTGCATCAAGCAGCCTCACGCTACAGAAACAAGAAATAGGCTCCTGCCCTATGCGCCGTTCTGGCTCGGACAAGCGTTACTTATATAGGGAATAGGGTGCCATTTGGTATGTAGACATGAATAGAGATGATGATGGGATGGAGGAGCTGGATCAGTAGAAGACCACGCTAGACTTCCCTCCTGGGGGGTTAAGGACCTTGTTGTGGGAGCGGGGGCGGGGGCCGAGGTGGGGCTCGTGGTCCTTCAGTGAGAGCTCACTAAGGGAGACCTCTGGCTCTGGCATCTTGGCCGAGGGAGCAGGCGCAGGCTCCACCGCTGCTTTGGTGGGTGTGGGGGGAGGGGATGCTACGTCCTCCTCCTTCACCTCTTTGGCCGGGCTCTCCTTTGGCTGAGGAGCTGAGAGCGAAAGGGAGAGAGAGAGAAAGAGAGGGATAAAAGAAACAGATGAGAGAGGAGAAACAGAGCGAGATTTACCTCGTACCAAATGGTACATAAGACTTGGTGTCAATTACTACGCAATTATTAGGTCATTATTAGCGCAGTCAACAAGTAATTTCTAGTAACTGCCTGGTAGACAGCGGGCTCTAAAGTGTTAGCCATTATCAGTGTCAAACTCACCTGGGGGCTCAGGAATGGGCATGGCACTTTCACCCACAGAAATGTTGTCCTGGGAATAATAGGGATAACATGTCAATATACCCTACACATCATGCAAATTAGCAACTCATAACCATTAGTCATTTGGAATGGGAGAGACTGGGGGACAGGGGTGGTCTGGATTACCTTTGGCTTGTTGGAATGGGCTTTGACCGAGGGAGGGGCGCTCTCTAGCCCTCCGAAGATGTTGCTGGTGTTGCCGCCTGGGGGTACGGGTCTCCGTTGCTCGGCTGGGGCCTCTGGAGAACCAAATATCCCACTGCTTTTACCCCCTGCATCGAGGAAGGATAGCGAGTCAATTTTTCACCTGCGCCAGGAATGTGACTTGGTGAAATGGTGCTGACAACGCCTTACAATACAATACAGAAAGAACAAACTAAATAATTTACACAAGGCATTAAAGGTGAACATTATTCAAGACATTGAGGAAAAGAAAAACAAGTCAAATCCCAACACTCAAACCACTTTTTTTGTGATTAACATTTCTATTGAATTTTCACTAATCAAACCTCCTATCTGACCCATTACTGGCAACATGATGACTGATTCCCTCCAACCAAATTGAACCAGGCTACAAACCTCCACACACAAAGCTCAGTCCTACCTTCACTATGCTACAGCTATGGTTTTGGAGAAGCGCTTTCTGCACAGCCTGGACTGACATGAGGCAATACATTTCACAGCAAGATAACATTTGAATATCTGGGCGTGTGCCTTCATAATTCTTTCTAGAACATTCTACCACAGAGACAGAAGGGCTGAAAGCTGGTAGCCTCCAGCTCGATGTGCAGAGATACAATAGAATATCATAACATATTTGAATTATTGGCCTCAATATAGACATATTGATCCAGTCATGTGATGTCATTAGATTACGTGGCCCAAACTTCGTTTAACTAATGAAAATCTCGGTAACTAATGAAAATCTCGGTCATGGTTTCTGTTAGGAAAATTTGGCGCCAGACAACATCACCGGCAAGATTTTAAATTTACCGGACATTAGAGAAATTTACCAGACAGCCATATGCATTGAGTGTGTACCGCATTAGGGCGTCCACCCACGGTACTCAAAATCACATTTAGATTATTGTAATTAATCTTGACAGAATAGAAATTAGCCTGTAAAGTTGTAATAAAATAAAGAATTACGTTCTTATACCAACATGACAGGTTTTACTGAAAAGCAAAACATTACCAGTTGTGTCTTCATCCCTTCTATAAATGAATATCAGTTGAAAAAAGAAAACATTTCGCCTAGAACAACAAGTCGCCTACACAGTAACTTCTAAATATAATGTTTGTATAATATACATTGAACAAAAATATAAAAACGCAACATGCAACAATTTTAAAGCTTTGACTGAGTTACAGTTCATATAAGGAAAATCAGGCAATTTAAATTAATTAATTAGGCCCTAATCTATGGATTTCACGACTGGGAATACAGATATGTATCGGTTGGTCACAGATACCTTAAAAAAAGGTAGGGGCATGGATAAGAAAACCAGTCAATATCTGGTGTGACCACTATTTGCCTCATGCAGCGTGACACATCTCCTTCGCATAGAGTTGATCAGGCTGTTGTGCATAGAGTTGATTGTGGCCTGTGGAATGTTGTCCCATGTCTGGTGTGTATGTAGGCCATGGAAGAACTGGGATATTTTCAGCTTCCAGGAACTGTGTACAGATCCTTGCAACATGGGGCCGTGCATTATCATGCTGAAACATGAGGTGATGTCAGCGGATGAATGGCACGACAATGGGCCTCAAGATCTCGTCACGGTATCTCTGTGCATTCAAATTGCCATCGATAAAATGCCATTGTGTTCGTTGTCTGTAGCTTATGCCTGCCCGTATCATAACCCCACTGCCACCACGGGGCACTCTGTTCACAATGTTGACATCAGCAAATCGCTCACACACACAACGCCATACATGCTGTCTGCCCGGTACAGTTGAAACCGGGATTATTCTGTGAAGAGCACACTTCTCCAGCGTGCCAGTGGCCATCGAAGGTTAGCATTTGCCCACTGAAGTCGGTTACGACGCCAAACTGCAGTCAGGTCAAGACCCTGGTGAGGACGACGAGCACACAGATGAGCTTCCCTGAGACGGTTTCTGACAGTTTGTGCAGAAATTCTGCATTTGTGCAAACCCACAGTTTCATCAGCTGTCTGGGTGGCTGGTGTCAGACGATCCCAGAGGTGAAGAAGCCGGATGTGCAGGTCCCGGGCGGGCGCACTTACACGTGGTCTGCGGTTGTGAGGTTGGTTGGACGTACTGCCAAATTCTCTAAATGACGTTGGAGGCGGCTTATGGAAGAGAAATTGACATTAAATTCTCTGGATACAGTTCTGCCAATTGCACGCTCCCTCAAAACTTGAGACATCTGTCGCATTGTGTTGTGTGACAAAAATGCACATTTTAGAGTGGCCTTTTATTGTCCCCAGCACAGGGTGCACCTTTTATTTTATTTATTTTTATTTCACCTTTATTTAACCAGGTAGGCCAGTTGAGAACAAGTTCTCATTTACAACTGCGACCTGGCCAAGATAAAGCAAAGCAGTGCGATAAAAACAACAGAGTTACATATGGGGTAAAAAAACAAAGTAAAAAAAAATACAACAGAAAATATATATACAGTGTGTGCAAATGTAGCAAGTTATGGAGGTAAGGCAATAAATAGGCTATAGTGCAAAATAATTACAATTAGTATTAACACTGGAATGCTAGATGTGCAAGAGATTATGTGCAAATAGAGATACTGGGGTGCAAAAGAGCAAAATAAATAACAATATAGGGATGAGGTAGTTGGGTGGGCTAATTTCAGATGGGCTGTGTACAGATGCAGTGATCGGTAAGGTGCTCTGACAACTGATGCTTAAAGTTAGTGAGGGAGATAAGAGTCTCCGGCTTCAGAGATTTTTGCAATTCGTTCCAGTCATTGGCAGCAGAGAACTGGAAGGAATGGCGGCCAAAGGAGGTGTTGGCTTTGGGAATGACCAGTGAGATATACCTGCTGGAGCGCAGACTACGGGTGGGTGCTGCTATGGTGACCAATGAGCTAAGATAAGGCGGGGATTTGCCTAGCAGTGATTTATAGATGGCCTGGAGCCAGTGGGTTTGACGACGAACATGTAGTGAGGACCAGCCAACAAGAGCGTACAGGTCACAGTGGTGGGTAGTGTATGGGGCTTTGGAGACAAAACGGATGGCACTGTGATAGACTACATCCAATTTGCTGAGTAGAGTGTTGGAGGCTATTTTGTAAATGACATCGCCGAAGTCAAGGATCGGTAGGATAGTCAGTTTTACGAGGGCATGTTTGGCAGCATGAGTGAAGGAGGCTTTGTTGCGAATTAGGAAGCCGATTCTAGATTTAACTTTGGATTGGAGATTCTTAATGTGAGTCTGGAAGGAGAGTTTACAGTCTAACCAGACACCTAGGTATTTGTAGTTGTCCACATACTCTAGGTCAGACCCGTCGAGAGTGGTGATTCTAGTCGGGTGGGCGGGTGCCAGCAGCGTTCGATTGAAGAGCATGCATTTAGTTTTACTAGTGTTTAAGAGCAGTTGGAGGCTACTGAAGGAGTGTTGTATGGCATTGAAGCTCGTTTGGAGGTTTGTTAACACAGTGTCCAATGAAGGGCCAGATGTATACAAAATGGTGTCGTCTGCGTAGAGGTGGATCTGAGAGTCACCAGCAGCAAGAGCGACATCATTGATATACACGGAGAAGAGAGTCGGCCCAAGAATTGAACCCTGTGGCACCCCCATAGAGACTGCCATAGGTCCAGACAACAGGCCCTCTGATTTGACATATTGAACTCTATCTGAGAAGTAGTTGGTGAACCAGGCGAGGCAGTCATTTGAGAAACCAAGGCTATTTAGTCTGCCAATAAGAATGCGGTGGTTGACAGAGTCGAAAGCCTTGGCCAGGTCAATGAAGACGGCTGCACAGTACTGTCTATTATCGATCGCGGTTATAATATCGTTTAGGACCTTGAGCGTGGCTCACCATGACCCTGAAACCGGATTGCTACGCGGAAGGTACGGTGGATCGAATGGTCATCGTTTGTACGCTTCAATACTCGAAAGCAGGGCAGGATGTAGGTCGTAAAATCTAGAGGTCCCCCCTTTGAAGGGGGGAGACCGGCAGCTTTCAATCCTGGGGATCTCAGACGCGAAAGAGAGGTTGACAGGCAGTAATAGGGTTCGAATTTCGGCGGCTAGTTTTAGAAAGAAAGGGTCCAGATTGTCTAGCCCAGCTGATTTGTAGTGGTCCAGATTTTGCAGCTCTTTCAGAACATCACTGTCTGAATTTGTGTGAAGGAGAAGCGGGGGGGGGGGGGGGGGGGGGGCATGGGCAAGTTGCAGCGGAGGGTGCAGAGTTGGTGGCCGGGTAGTGGTAGCCAGGTGGAAAGCATGGCCAGCCGTAGCAAATGCTGTTGAAATTCCGATTAATGTAATTTACGTGGTGATAGTGTTTCCTAGCCTCAGTGCAGTGGGCAGCTGGGAGGAAGTGTCTCTTATTCTCCATGGACTTTACAGTGTCCCAAAACTTTTTGGAGTTAGTGCTACAGGATGCAAATTTCTGTTTGAAAAAGTTAGCCTTTGCTTTCCTGACTGCTTGTGTATATTGGTTCCTAACTTCCCTGAAAAGTTGCATATCGCGGGGGCTATTTGATGCTAATGTAGTACGCCACAGGATGTTTTTGTGCTGGTCAAGGGCAGTCAAGTCTGAGGAGAACCAGGGGCTATATCTGTTCTTAGTTCTGTATTTTTTGAATGGGGCATGTTTATTTAAGATTGAGAGGAAATTACTTTTAAAGAACAACCAGGCATCCTCTACTGACGGAATGAGATCTATAACCATCCAGGATACCTTGGCCAGGTCAATTAGGAAGGCCTGCTCGCTAAATAGTTTTAGGGAGCATTTGACAGTGATGAGGGGTGGTCGTTTGACCGCGGACCCGTTACGGACGCAGGCAATAAGGCAGTGATCGCTGAGATCCTGGTTGAAGACAGCGGAGGTGTATTTAGAGGGTAAGTTAGTCAGGATGATATCTATGAGGGTACCTATGTTTACGGATTTAGTATTGTACCTGGTAGGTTCGTTGATAATTTGTGTGAGATTGAGGGCATCTAGTTTGGATTGTAGGATGGCCGGGGTGTTAAGCATATCCCAATTTAGGTCACCAAGCAGTACGAACTCTGAGGATAAATCGGGGGCAATCAATTCACATATGGTGTCCAGGGCACAGCTGGTG